TTTTTTTAATAATTGTTATATTATAAAATTTAATGGTTTATTGTATTTTTTAAAATTAGCCAATATTTCAAGTTTACCATTAGAATTTTCAGATAATGAATCAATCAAAAATATACAAAGCTTGAACTATTAGCACGATTGATTCTTATGTTTAGATTATATATATATATAATTGATTTTTACATAATTTTATTATATAATTTAGGATACGGCTGCAAATATATTGGAAAATTCGCATAATTTAAATAAAAAATCATTCAGAAAAGTAAGAAACATAAACTATTAACAGTTTTTTAAGGTTAACTATATATATATAAATTAATTCTCATATATAATTTTATACATATACTTTTAGGATTTGACTGAAACATTATGTAATTCAAATAAAAAATCATTCAAAAATATAAGAAATTTAAACTATTAGCAATATTAATTTTTATACTCTGATTAACTATGCATGTATATTGGATAAAATTAATTATCACGCTTTTTATGCTTTTAAGTAGAACTCAATAGCAAATACCTTGAAAACTTTATATAATTCAAATAATATTGCAAATACTGCAAATCTTATAATCATATCAAAAGATGAATCAACGTTATATAATTCAAAAGAAAAAGTTATTGAATCAATTGAATTAGAGTTAGATGGTAAGTTTTATTGTTTATTGATTTAATTATATTAAAAATTTTATTTATATTAAATAATCTTCTAGATATGGATAGTATTATAAGCAATAGGTCTAATAAGGCCTGGCACCTAAAACAAGTTTTTATGAATACTACTCAAAAAGAGTTGATTATATATAATAATCAACTTTTTTTGACTAACTAAGTTGAAAGTTTTCTTACAACTAACTTCGATTACCTATTTTTTAATAATAGTAATGAAGTTAATTATAAGCTATCACAAGAATTACCAACTTATTCATTTCAAGATATTGAATCAATATATAAGTATCTTGAAAGTTGGTTTTTTTTATTTGATAATCTTGGATTGGCAAAACATTTAATTGAGGAATCCAGGTTGCATATGCTTTATAATTTACATAGTCTTTTTGTATCACTTGCAGTGATATATATAATGAAATACAAAGAAGATAAGAAAGTATTTCCAGACTATTTAATTTTACATGGTCTTATTAGTAATAAAGTGCAAACACTTTTTGGAATCGTTGAAAGATATAAAAGATGATATTGGTTAGGGACTTGGTAGTTAATTGAATTGCTTCATGTAACTCAATGCCCTGCTATGATTCTTATTAAATCTAAAATTATAGCAAATTTTTTAATATCTTTAACTTATATAGAATATAATAATTTTCTTAAAAGTCTTGTAAATAATGAGAATATTTCTTATAAAAAACCAAAATTTGAAGCATCTATAATACAAAAAATTATAAACCTAGGTATAATTTTCTGATTTAGCGGATATTGATCATGTGATATAAATGTTAATAAAGCTTAATTTTCTATTGTATTTTTTTATAAATAGGAAGTTTTTAAACAATTACTTGATTAATTAGTTATTAGTAAAATTAAAAAAATATCAGTAGTAGATATTTTACACTGTGGAACAAAAAAAAACCAGAAAAATTACGCATCATTTTAAACACATACAACAACAATTCTAGAATAGAGATGTTAAAAGTCTGGTCCGGTCTGACTCTATGAGTTGAGTTTTAATCTAGACTCAGTCTCGAGTCATACTTAGAACCAAGTCCTAGTAATCTTATAGTAATAATCATATGCAATATTAGATATATAGATTATATAATAACGATAAGTATATAGACAAATTTTTTGGTGTAACTCAAGTATTTATCTAGAAATGTTTCCTATTTAATTTTAATTTTTTTCACATTTTAGATTGTTATTCTTTGCAGAAATCTTACATTTTTGCGAAAGCAACAAAATATTCTAGATTTAGCTGTAAATTATTAATAATATAGACTTCAGGAAATTTTCATAGCAAGCTTCTTACTAGCACTATTAATGAGGTTTTGATGAGATTTTTTGATTGAGCATGAAAATTAAAAATTTTTTTGTATATACTCAGTCAAAAAGCCTTGTCAAAACCTCATTAATAGTGCTAGTAAGAAGCTAAATTAGTGTTTGCTATGAAAATT